AAATTGCATTTGAAGACCCAAATGCTTTTATTAATCGTTTCTTCTTCGTCGTCGATTTAAGAAATGCCTTTGAAGTTGTGCACGGACTGTAAAATACAGTAGTCCACATTTGAAGTGGATCTAAGGCAAGAACGCATTTTGGTTTCAGGTTTTAGGACAACTTTGATGAAAGGTTTTGATCCACTTCAAATGTTGAATGGTGTACCATCGATTAAATAACTAGATAAAAAAGTTCGCCAAGACAAACTTTAGGTTAGCTTGAGAAAGCCTGACAGTTTAAAGCAGTTGTAAAAGCTTGAAGTTTGAAAATTTAGATAGATTAGATAGATGATGATGACATGTTTCTAGCATGATTAGCATGTTGCTAGAATGATTATTGTTTGATTACGTCTTTAATTGATTTTTCCGTACATTTCTGCCATATGTACATTGACTGACAGTCACCACTGATAAGCTACCACTAAATATTGTAGAAACTTAATTTGCTGTAAAGTTGCTTTGCAACGATTTGTATCGTGAAAAGCGCTATACAAATAAACTTTAATTGAATTACCAAGTGACTAGCATGTCGCTAGCATGATTAACAAGTAACTAGCATGTCGCTAGTATGTTTCTAACATGATTAGCATGCTACTAGCATGTTTCTAGCATGCTAATATCATGTTGCTAGTATGATTAGCAAGTGACTAGCATGTCACTAGCATTATTAGCAAGTTCCTAGCATTTGGTTAGCATGTTTTTAACACTATTAGCATGTTACTAGCATGTTGCTAGATTGATTAACAAGTTACTAGCATATAACCTACATGTTTCTAGCATGATTAGCAAGTGGCTAGCATGTCGCTAGCATTATTAGCAAGTTGCTAGCATTTGGTTAGCATTTTTTTAACACGATTAGCTTGTTACTAGCATGATTAGCATGCTACTAGCATGTTGCTAGCATGATTAACAAGTTACTAGCATATAACCTACATGTTTCTAGCATGATTAGCAAGTGGCTAGCATGTCGCTAGCATTATTAGCAAGTTACTAGCATTTGGTTAGCATTTTTTAAACACGATTAGCTTGTTACTAGCATGATTAGCATGCTACTAGCATGTTGCTAGCATGATTAACAAGTTACTAGCATATAACCTACATGTTTCTAGCATGATTAGCAAGTGGCTAGCATGTCGCTAGCATTATTAGCAAGTTACTAGCATTTGGTTAGCATTTTTTAAACACGATTAGCTTGTTACTAGCATGATTAGCATGCTACTAGCATGTTGCTAGCATGATTAACAAGTTACTAGCATATAACCTACATGTTTCTAGCATGATTAGCAAGTGGCTAGCATGTCGCTAGCATTATTAGCAAGTTACTAGCATTTGGTTAGCATTTTTTAAACACGATTAGCTTGTTACTAGCATGATTAGCATGCTACTAGCATGTTGCTAGCATGATTAACAAGTTATTAGCATATCGCCTACATGTTTCTAGCATGATTAGCATGCTACTAGCGTGTTGCTAGCATGATTAACAAGTTACTAACATATCGCCTACATGTTTCTAACATGATTAGCATGTTACTAGCATGATTAGCATGCTACTAGCATGTTGCGAGCATGATTAACAAGTTACTAACATATCGCCTACATGTTTCTAGCATGACTGGCATTTGGATAGCATGTTTTTAACACGATTAGCATGTTACTAGCATGATTAACAAATTACTTGCATGTTTCTAGCATGATTAGCATGTCGCTAGGATCTAACCTAATAATTAAAACATAAAACTGGGAATAAATCACTTTTTAAAATGGACAAATTAATAGAGATACTTAAAACTGTTTATTTGAATAATTTTTTGCATCGTTAAAACTAAAAATAAAAAAAAGCATCTTTAAAATGAAAAATAAATAGATAAACAAAACTGTTTATTCAGTTCATGCTTTAAAATGTAATAAGTATAGTAAATAAAACCATAGCTGTAAATAAAACGGTAGCTACAGTAAACTAATAAATATTAAAATAAATGACTATTTTAAATTGCATTTAAAAACACTAGCATGATTAACAAGTTACTAGCATTTGGATAGCATGTTTTTAACACGATTAGCATGTTACTAGCATGATTAACAAATTACTTGCATGTTTCTAGCATGATTAGCATGTCGTTAGCATGTTTCTAGCATGATTAGCATGTCACTAGGATCTAACCTAATAATTAAAACATAAAACTGGGAATAAATCACTTTTTAAAATGGACAAATTAATAGAGATATTTAAAACTGTTTATTTGAATAATTTTTTGCATCGTTAAAACTAAAAATAAAAAAAAGCATCTTTAAAATGAAAAATAAATAGATAAACAAAACTGTTTATTCAGTTCATGCTTTAAAATGTAATAAGTATAGTAAATAAAACCATAGCTGTAAATAAAACGGTAGCTACAGTAAACTAATAAATATTAAAATAAATGACTATTTTAAATTGAATTTAAAAACCCGAAAGCTTTTATAAATTCTTTAATCAATTAAACAAATGACATTAAACTCTTCTGGACTTCTAACAAAACTTTTGACTTAATTTTACTTTGTATACCAACAATATAGTACCATCAATTAAAAATAAAAAGGAAATAAAAATACTTTTCAAAATGGACAAATTAATAGATATTTAAAGCAGTTTAATTAATGTTTTAAAATGTAGTTAAAATTAAATAATTTTTAAATTGAAAAACAAACTGTTCATTCAATTCATGTTTTATAACCTAATTAAACAAAGTCATAACTATAGTAAATAAATAAATATTAAAATAAATAAACATTTTAAATTACACAAAGCCAAATGCTCTTCTTCATCCTTGTTTTCCGCTTATGTTACGACTCTAGGGGACAAAAATAACTCCGAACAATAAAGCACCATCAATTAATATATTATTATATTTAGAGTATTATTTACAGTTTTGAAATAATATTTTGTCAAAGGTGCTGTTTTTATGGCAGTAAACACCAGCTCTTTAAAGAACCACTGCTAAAAAAAATTCTATACAAGTAATAGTTAACCTCACTAACCAGCTAGTTAATTACTGGATGACTATTAGCTGAGGTTTGAGTGAGTGAGAACGAGCATCTGTTCATCTGCACCTCAGAAGAGAAACTCATGTCATGACCACACGCAGCAGAACTGGAAACCGTCTGCGTCTGACGATATCCTGATTGATTATTGATCACAGAGGAAGTGATAGGGAGTCACATGACGTCACTCACCGTTGGGCGAGAGCGTGACCGCAGGCATCGAGTGCATACTGGGCTCAGCGATGTACTTGAAGTCCACAGGAATATCCCTGAAAAAATACATAGAAATTAAAGCATGAAAACCTGCACGGCATCTTTTTTAATTGCGAAGATGTATGCATGTATGTATATATATTAGCACATTAAATAAAGATAAAAAAATAAAAAAAGATAAATATAGATAAAGTAGAATTAAAATAGAATAGAAAGTGTTAGAGTTAGAGGGTCAAATAAAGGTGGAACAGATGTGTTTTTAGTCGTTTCTTGAAGATGGCTAAGGACTCAACGCAGTACACGTAGCAAGGTATTTATTTATATATATATATATATATTAGGGCTGTCGCGATCCGTCGATTTTATTCGACTATTCGATTTTTAAAAATCCTCGACTAACCGGCAAAATACCGGAAGTGGCGCATTTCACGGAAGAGAATCCATAAAACACATTAGTCTGTTTCCCAAGGCTGCATGATATATTAAACCCATTTATAAATCATAATTAAGCATAATTGTGAATTCACAAACACTACGATTTAATTAAATAATTATATGCGATGCAGTTCTAATACAGTGCATGCTCTTTAATTATTTACATGCGTGTAGGTTAAGTACGTGCGTCACACAGCGGCTCGGTTCACAGTAGCTCCACAGGAACGGTTATCATTTACACGTGTGGAGCATCTCAAACTCCATCTCTGCATGTTGTTGTGTGTTTGGGTTTATTATAACGTTCATCTGGGAACGCAACATGCACCATTTCATCAGATTTGTAAGGTAAATCATTTATAAATCCACGCAAACACAGGAGAATACTTCAAAATAAAAGCTCAAACCCTCACTCTGAGTTTACAGTTTTGATGTCCACATATTCTTTTAATTACAGTGGCTATAGCATTTCTGTCCTAAAGAAATGGGCAGATATTAAAGATTAAGAGGACATTTGAACTAAATGGTGCTTGGTCAATATTAAACAAGGATTAGATCGCACAGTAATGTGTAAAAACAATCGTCAGGCCGTTGGCGCCCCCTGCAGGCCTTTGTTGTAATGCGTAATGTACCTGAGCTCTATTGTTTATAATACATTATGTATTTTAACAGTTTTGTTTGAACTAATTATTATTGCCTCATTGCTATATGTATTTTAAGTCATTTTAAAGGCTATAGTTCACTTACATCTATTTTTATTACCACAAAAAAAATTAATTATAATTATAGGGCCCTATGAAATCCGTTTTATTTCCAAATTCTTTTTTTTTTTTCATTTTAATTTTTCTATACTCCGTTTTAATGGTTAAAATAAATTGTATTAATCAAAAAGCGAAATGGACAAATATTAATTAAGTGAACATTTGAATGAAATGGTGCTTGGCCAACATTAAACAAGGATTGGATCGCACAGTAATGTGTAAAAAACAATCGTCAGGCCGTTGGCGCCCCCTGCAGGCCTTTGTTGTAATGCGTAATGTACCTGAGCTCTATTGTTTATAATACATTATGTATTTTAACAGTTTTGTTTGAACTAATTATTATTGCCTCATTGCTATATGTATTTTAAGTCATTTTAAAGGCTATAGTTCACTTACATCTATTTTTATTACCACAAAAAAAATTAATTATAATTATAGGGCCCTATGAAATCCGTTTTATTTCCAAATTCTTTTTTTTTTTTCCATTTTAATTTTTCTATACTCCGTTTTAATGGTTAAAATAAATTTTATTAATCAAAAAGCCTGTCTAATTAATTGAGTTTTACAGTCTTATCTTTACCAAATTCTGTTTTCCATTATTTTCTGGATTCCATTTTAATGGTTCCATTAAATTGTATTATACTACGGGGCCGTTGAATGCTTGAATCTGATTGGCTGACGAACGTTCTGAGGTTCCAGGCAGCTCTCTTGACCGCATTACAGTTCCATATCGCTTCGCATAGTTTACTGTAATAACGGAAATAAGCATACAGCTGCCCTGACAATTTCATCAGTTAGCCTATATAGTGTAGCAACTTAGAGGCTACACATGACATTTCTCACTAGCGAGGTAATAACAGAACACTGTTGAGGGACGCCCAGAGCTAGCCTAATTCACACAAGCTCTCTCTCTCTCTCTTTCTCTTTCTCCGTCTCTCTTTCTAACAACTTCATTAGAATGCCTCCATTACCAGCTTTAAAATTACGTTTTGGAACTAGCAAAAGTTGGATGAGATGCAGAACTCCTACTCACAATAAGAGGTAATAACAGCGCTGTTTAGAGACGCTGCTGCAGAACACTGTTGAGGGATGCACAGAGCTAGCCTAATTCACACAAGCTCTCTCTCTCTCTCTTTCTCTTTCTCCATCTCTCTTTCTAACAACTTCATTAGAATGCCTCCATTACCAGCTTTAAAATTACGTTTTGGAACTAGCAAAAGTTGGATGAGATGCAGAACTCCTACTCACAATTATGATTTAAGTACAAAAACTGGACGAATCCCTTTAAATATATCATCTGATCGATGTCTTGAGGTGTGGTAACCGGAGTATAGCGGAATAATTGACTCCGGGCCGTTGAATTATTAGAAAAATAATGCATTTTATTTTAATAATGCATTTCCGCTTCGTGGCTGCATCACCACCTCGGGTGTGCATTATTTTTCTAATAATTCAATGGCCCAGAGTCAGTTATTCCTTACATAATCAAAAGCATTTAAGGGGGTCTGAATACTTTCCGTACCCACTGTATATATATATATTTTTTTTTTTTTTTCTTTTTCAGAAACACTGCACTTACATTTTTCTCCTAAATAAATTCTGGTAAATTGTGTGTGTTTTTTGATAATTTTATTAGTAGTAGACTAGAACACGTGGATATGTTGTCATTCTTACACTATAATACCGAACTTTGATTTCAGTGATTTGGACGATGGACACTTGCTTCTTGCACTTTACTTTTGGATTTCATTTGGTTTAATGAAATATAGTTTAGTAAAATATTCTTAAGAAAAATTAGTGGGAAATTAATCGTTTAGATTAATCGATTAATTAGTCTATAGATTAATCGAAATCAAAATAGTCATTAGTGGCAGCCCTAATATACACACACACAAAGATAAACAAGTAGATCGAATAGAAAAAATAGAAAGCTAGAGATAAAAAGAAGTTAAATAGATAAAGTAGAATTAAAATTGACTAGAAGGTGCTAGAGTTAGAGGGTCAAATAAATATAAATATATACACACATACACATATGTATATATACAGTTGTGCTCACAATTATTCATACCCTTGATAAATATGATCAAAGAAGTCTGTGTAAATAAATCCATATTGTTTATCCACTTGATCTTTCATTCAAAAATGTAAAAAAAACTAGTGAAAATACACATACACAAAGTGAAAGTGGGGGAAATTCACATTATGAAAAATATTTTTCTCAAATACAGTAAGAGGACGTGTATCTATATCTAATGCACGGTGAGGAGGATCACAGCTGGATAACTGCAGAAAATAGTTGAGTCTTGGACAGAAAGCCTAAAAAAATTAATGTTGTTTGGGAGGGTTTCAAGAAAAAAATAGAAAAGAAAACGCTCTCATCCAAAAACAAACTCCAGCAGGAGGATCACAGCTGGATAACTGCAGAAAATAGTTGAGTCTTGGATGTTGTTTGGGAGGGTTTCAAGAAAAAAAATAGAAAAGAAAACGCTCTCATCCAAAAACAAACTCCAGCATATTTATTTGCCAGACACAACTTGAACTTTAAACGGGACTGGGTTCAATTAACTAAAAAAAATAGCTTTTTAGCAGCAAACACTCAAAATGGGTTTGGTGCACACAGGGATAAAAAGTACCCCATGTCTACAATGAAATATCCTGCTGGATCTTTAATGTTGTGGGCCTATTTCTCTGCCGGAGATCCTGGATATCTTGTTCAGATAGATGGCATAATGGATTCTATAAAATACCAATGGATAAAAAAAATTAAGAACTGACTGTCCATGCTAGAAATCTTATAATGGGCCATGGTTGGATCTTCCAACAAGACAATGATCCACAAACAAACATCAAAATCAGAGCTGGAGTGATTCTGGATGAAGGAATGGTCTCTGATCTCCTGTCAGATGTTCTCTAAACTCTTCAGGCATTATAGGAGAAAACTCAGAGCTGTTCTCTTGGCAAAAGGAGGTTGCAAAAAGTATTGGATAAAAGGGTATGATTAATTCTGACCAATGTGTATTAGAGAAAAACATTTATTTCATAATGAGATTTCGCTCCCATTTTAAATTCTTATTCTCCAATGAAAGGTTAGATTTTAGTCATTTTTTAAAATACAATATCTAAAGGACTGATGATACAGATTAATTTTCACAGCCTTTTTTGATCATATTTACCAATTTACCATATTGAATAATTTTGAGCACAACTCTATATAGAATAAATTGTATGATCATAACTTCTCAGCATCTACAGCATAAAATGTCTAGTAATTGTTTCTAAATCATACAATATGAATGATAAAATTCTTACAAAAGCACTACAATATTATATATGCTCTCTAAATACACTTACTAATTCTCCTGCTTTGTTTTACTGGCATGTACAATTATTTTCATTTTTTGTTTTTATATATATATATATATATATATTTTTTTTTTAATGTAACTGCTTTAAAACAAAGAATATATAGACAGTTTAAATAGGAATAGATCTCTCAGTATACAGTGTGGAAGTATGAAACTCAAATATATATACTAATCTATACTAATCCATTTAATAAAAGACATCTTAACAGCTTTTTTCATGAAATAGTGATGAATCCTGTATAAATGTGATTTAAAATTGTCCAGTGGTGATTAAGGTGATTTCTCATGTAAATTTGAGAGCTCGATAACCTAAATAACTAAATAAAACATACAGAATGATAAATACAAGTTAATGTTTTCACCCCTCTTTAAATGTGTTTCTCTGAGAAAGAAATCAAGCCAATATACTGGATGTATTCACATATATCATACACGGACTGTAAAAAAAATAGAAAAGAAAACGCTCTCATCCAAAAACAAACTCCAGCATATTTA